GCACGATATAGATGTCGTAAATCAGGCAAGGAGGAGGAACATGAATGAATAAATATGAAATGATAAATATGAAGTGGTTAAATGGGGCAACAAAAATATGATAAATATGAAATGCATAAATGAAAACAGTAAAATGCGATAAATATGACGTGATAAATATGATGTGATTAAATACTGTGATAAAAAATGGTTAAATATGAGGTGGTTAAATAAATAGTTTGAATTAATCTACGATAGGAAAGTTGAGAAGGAAATTAAACTATCTAAATAGGAAAGAAAGAGAGGCTGTACTACGTACATGAAAGAAGTACTACTACTAAGCGTAGTTAAAAGTGTAATACTACGCTAACCTAGTACAAATAAATCTGTGCTACAAATGCACAGTTTAAATGATATTATTGAATACGAAATATGTTGCGTATTTACTACCGAAACAGACCAAGCCTAGGCTTGATATGTTTTGGCAGCAACTACGCAGCATAGAAATGTGATAGACGTCCTACGCCGTAATAGAGGAACAATAGGGAAAGTAGCAAGATGGGTCGCGATCAGTTATGTGTGTAACTTAAGGATGAAATAAGCAGTGATCGCGCGAACAGAGAAAGAGAAGACAGAAAATAGAAAACTATACTAAGTATTTGTAATAAAGAATGTAATGTCGGAGGATAGAAAGAAAAGGGAGTAGCGCAGAAAAAGAACTCATTGCTACCCAGTTAAAAACTTTTAGCTGGCGGCAAGAAACACTACTTAGGTAATCTACAAGGCTACGGAAAAATTACTAACACATGTTAAAAAAAAAAAAAAGACCGCAAGAGAAACGAATAATCATACTGATAAGAGTAAAACGCTGCGGGCGAGTAAACACACACACGAACTACCTAAGCGCAGTTACACACGTAACAACTAAGAAAGAAAACAAAGGGTACCTGATCGCGATCCATCTCCTACGAACGCGTCGTAATTGGGAAACATACGTCGTATAACAGTATAGTAGACAGAATAGTAGAATATTGTCGTAATAGTGGTAAAGTTCACTAAGTGAACGAATAGCAGCCTTACGGCGACGAAGCACATAAAATGGGAATCGCGCAATCAAAACACACGCTTCGCGGCGGACCGCGTCACGTGCGCGTGCGGCGCGTCTCAACGACGTTGTATTTTTGCACGCATTGAATGCTACGAAACGTATGTGCTGAAGGATTACGCCTGAAAAAGCTGAAAAGGATTAGTTTACACTACTACGAATGTACTTATGTTGAGATTTAGCCGTTCGAGACGGTTGTACGCGTTGAGTGCTAGAGATGGTAAGGAACGCTTAGCACTCAATGATGTTGTTTTGCACGTATTTCTAAAGGGTAAAGTTGCGAAATTGATCTTGTTTTGACCTTACCTTTAGTCGTGCGAACGTCTACGGAACGGACTACATTGTCCTTACTGAAATGTAACGCCTCAATCAGACCATACGGCCACTGTCCTCGTGGGAGTTTATCGTCTGCGATAATGACGACATCTCCCACCTGCGGTGTTATTGCAGAGGACTTAGGTTGCCGTATACGGAGTTGTTGACGTTCTCGTAACGCAGAGAGGTAGTCGGAGTGCATACTTCCCAAAACGCATCGAGAAGCCTAAGCATCTCCTTGTACCACTCTACGAGGATGGTAGGAAGCGTCAAAAACTGGATCTGGATTGGACGGTAACGGTGGAACCTGGAGATTTATAGCCGGTGAAATGAAATCTATTGGCCTCAAAACGTAAGCGAACACGTCGTTTTCCCGATAGGGTGTTATAGGACGGGAATTAAGTGTCGCTTCGATTTCAGGCACAATAGTTTGCAGTTGACTAAGCGACAAGACAACACGACCTACGGTCTTTTTGTAGGCCGACTTAAAAAGCGCGACTAGACGTTCATAAAAACCCTCCTTTCCAAGGGGAAAGAGGGGTTATGAAACTTCAGTTAATTTTATGCGCTTACGCAGTAGTTTTGAGTATTGGACTTCCCAGTTTTGGGAGTAAAGCACTGATGTTATAGCGCTTTCTTCTGGCGCATGAAACGTCGTTGATATTTGTCGCTATACTACACACTTGTCAGCCCTCTACGCGCGATGCCAACCTACGCAAACGCAAGTAAAAATCTGCGTGGTGTTTATCTCAGTACAACTTTAAGTGTACTGCACGCGTAGACATACATGTAAAAAGACATATCCACACCTTGTTGGAGGTCCTATGGGCATCACCAGCGGTAATTGGGCCGAGATAGTCAAACTGCCGGATGTTCTGGAAAGGCCGAAACCTTCCCGTACGTTCTGGCGGTAACTGCGGCATGTTAGGATACCGATAGGGATGACCATTGACCTTCCTACAGGTAACACAACTACGCAACGCTTGTGTGACATAAAGGCGAGTAGATGGAATAAGAAAGCGTTTGCGTAAGTTGGCTACGGTGTGGTAAACTCCGGAATGGTGGTTTAAATGGTGATAATGAAGTATTATAACTTGCGTTAAAGGATGTGTAGGTACCAAAAGTATAGGTGCAGAATATAATGGACCTATACGCGCCGGACAACGAATTAGATGGTATTGTGCTCGCTTAGGATGGTATTTTGCGAGCTGTGGCCGCTTGAGATACGACTCACTCTCGCGGTAATGCGCGAGAATGAGTTGAATCTCAGCATAATCGATGTCCAAGGCGTGTATAGTACCTGACGACGTAACTAAACCTACGGCTGGCAATTTTAGGTCGATTATATCGCGTGTACCTTGCGATACACGGTCAAAAATCAACCTACGTAGGAACTTAAGTACGTAACTGTTATACGAGCAAGTTTTAAATACTTATTGGTGACTGTAAACGGTAACACCGATTTAAACTCACCTTCTGACTCGTTGATTGCATGCACGTTCAAGTATTCGCAATCTACGTCATCGTAACCTTGCGGTGGAATTCGAAAATTGACGTTCAACATTGGGCCATTGACTTGGTGAGAGTTGCAAAAAATGAGGTCCAGTCCACCAGATGTGATTTTTAGCTTCCTTCGTTGCCAGACCGCGAGTAGCACAGTCGGCAGGATTGTCCTCGGAAGCTACGTAGTGGAAGGAAACTGGAATATTCTGAGCCTCAAGTTCTGCAACAATACGTTTAATGGCTTGAACACGATTTTGAACAAAAACCTTAAGGGGTTTTTCGCAGTGTATCCAATGTAACGCTATAAGCGATCTGAAAATATACTGAACGCTGCAAAGGTAATTGTAGATGTTTTAAGATACTGCGCTAAACGAATGCTAATAAGAGCTGCTAAGAGTTCTGAGCGTGGTATGGTGACTGGTTTGGGATGGTTGAGATGCGATTTTGCCATAAGCAGGCACGAATGCACTGCCTCTGGCAAACGACAAACCAGATAGCCACAACACGCGTAGAGACGCTTAGAAGCATCCCCAAATACGCACAGCTCTAAGCTGCTAGGTTTACGACACGATGGCATGACTAAACGTGGGATAAGCGGTAACGGATGTTTTAGGTCAGCTAAGAGCTGACTCCACTGATCTAGCTGCGACTTGTCTAAGGGAGTGTCCCAACCCATTTCCTGCAACCAGAGATCTTGAATAAAGATCTTAACTGGAGCTAGAAACGGGGTGAGCAGTCCCAAAGGGTCGAAGGTAGACGCAAGTGCGCGTAACGCTGTACGTTTAGAATTAACCGAGACTTGCACTGTTTTAATACGGATGTCTAAGGTGTCCATGTTGAACTGCCAGGAATGCCTAGCAGAGTAGCATTAGATGGATTGATAGCGCGGTCTTGTTGCGTGATAGAGGAGTTGACCGTGGTAGAATTGCACAGGAACTCTCTCAAGTTCATGTGCATCCTACTAAAGATGGACTTTGCGAGCTGGTATTTGGCAAGTGCATCTTCACGCGTGCGTGCGCCCAAGATGACATTGTCCACGTAGGTGTTACGAGAAATCTCGTCACCTACGGGCGACGCTTCACGCTGAAGATACAACTTGATAGCGGCAGCAAGTAAAAAGGTGACGCGTTGACCCCGAACGGTATGCGAGTAAAGCGTAATATACGTAAGTTAGCAGGAGATGGTGGTTTTGACGGATCCTTAAGCCAGAGAAAACGAGTAGCGTCGCGCTGCGAACGCTGGAGCCTGACCTGATGGAAAGCCTTCTCCACGAGGAGAAACGGATGCAGGCGCGCACGAAGTAGAATGCCTACTAATTCTGGCAAAAGCGAAGGACCTTGATGGAGACAGTCGTTAAGACTGTACGCGTCCTTACGTTTCGAAGAGGCATCAAAGACGATACGCAGTTTAGTCGTAGAGGAGGACTCCTTATAGACCGCCTGATGAGGGATGTAATAAACACGCGGATCATCGAAGGCGTACTCTTCGACGTCCTCTACGAAGCCTGCTGAAACATGATCCTCGATCGCCTTGACATACTGCTGCCAAACCGCAGGGGTTTGGCTCAACCGCTGTCCCTGGTAAGAAGGCGACAATACGCTAGCTGCTTATTGTCATCTAAGCGCGGATGACCTGCTTTCCAAGGAAAGCGCACGTAAAGGATACCGTCGACGAACTCTGCCGTATCGTTGAACTCTTGTATAATACGCTGTTCGAGTTGACTATCTACGGCGGGATCGTGGTCGTCGTCGATGCCAAGAGCATCGAGCGACCAAAGACGACTCACTACGCTATCGTCGTGCTCGGAGACTACGACGTCGCGGACGGTGTTTGCGCTTTGCGATAGCCAGACAGAAAAAACCGAACTCCCGGAGACGACGGTTCCAAATCGAGTATGACACAACACCATGCCCGAAGGCAGGTGAATGGGTCTCTCACGTAAGAGAACATCCCAAAAATGGTCGATACCGCGATAAGGATGTCGGGAACGTTGAACGAGAAATCAGCACAAAGGCATCGACAATCCACGACTGCGTATGAAGTCAGCATCCTCATCCGTCAAGCGCGGTGGATGTATTGCGCTAAGGTGACTGTTTGTTTAGCAATGAGGCTCAACTGTGAGCTCATCATCGTATTGATCGAGAAGCGTAACCTGTACGACACCTGAAACTTCTGTGACGGATTGACCGCCGAACGCGATGAACGTACGAGGACGAGAACTGAGTATTTTGAAGCCTAAGCGCTGCGCTGCACTTAACACTATAAAACTTTTTTGCGATCCGGAGTCGAGAAACAAGGTGACTTCTTCGACTCGTGCGGAGTTGTAGTTGAGGGTTTTACCCTTTACGAGCATAAGAGAGGCATAGCGCGAAGGACTAGCATGATTGGCCGATGGACTGGCACTACGAGGTGGATATAACATATCTGCCTCATCATCAGACTCGTAAGCCTGCTTCTGCTGCAGATATGGCGACGAACGACCTGAGCGACCTCGATGATGATCGATGTAGTCCCTTACGGGCGAACGGAACGAGACACGCTTTGGAGAGTGTGACCGAGATGAGCGACACGAATGGCGATCCCCACCACTCGGCCGAACGACGATCTCGCGAATGGGAGCGAGACCTGCCACCAGGAGGCGAACTGCGTACACGCCTACTATCCCGAGATGGACTACGCGATGGATAGCGATCGGGGAGCGGTGACGGTGACGAGACTCCTCGCTGCACCAGTATCTCCTAGATTGATGACCGTGTGATGATGACTTACTGCAGAGGATCTCGTGGTGATCACCTCTGCAGACGCGACACGAGGGATACTTACAAGAGCGAGATGAGTGACGATGTCTAAGACACCTCCAACAGAGTCTACGTAACTGCACGACGGTACGCCGTACTGCGACTGGCACATCGAGGTGACATCGAGTGGAACTGTGATTCGGCGAATCGCAAAAACAACAACGTGTTGAATCGTGCGAATGCCGAGATGGCGAACGATGGCGCGATGGACTGCGCGAAGAAGAAGACTGCCGTAGTGGGCTACGGCTTGGTGGAGATGAATACCGCGATGGACTGCGGGACCGAAACGTATTTACAAAGAAGCTGTCGGTTAACGTGGTAGAATCTTCATACTTCTCCTTGGACGAAATGATGTAGTCGAGTTTCTCCATGACCTGCGTGAGATCGAAGTCGGAATTGGTCTGGAACTCGAGCTCGTGAAGCTTCTGCTGAATTTCTGCTGGAAATTTGCTCTTGACTAGGTCAAGAATCGGCAGAACTCTGCTGAAGTCTTCATAACGACGAAGTCCGTGGAGAATACCGGATACACGAAACCAAGTACTACGAAGGTCTGGGCCCGTATTTCGAGCTACGGGGAGCTGTTGAAGCGTCTGTGAAGGGTAGCTCGCGTCCGATAAGGACGGTCATACCGCTTCTTGAGAGCCTTCACCAGCTCCGCGTAGTTGCATTCCTCCGGGTCAAGATCCTGTAGTACTATTTGGGCATCGCCCTTGAGCAAACTTTGTAAATACAGAAATTTGTACGCCGATGGAGTATTTGGGTCATTATGCACCGCAAGTTCGAAGGCACACCAGAACCTACGAAATTGTGTGATGTCTCCCGTGAATGGTTCCAATGCGAGCTGGCCAAGCTGTACAGCTGGCTGCGCTGGCATAGGACCAAACAGGGGGACATCTGGGCCTGCGAAGTATGATGGACCATAGCCGGGCGGAAAGGTTGGGTGCGCTTAAGGATGTTGCTGCGGCTGCGCGTACGATGAACCCACATGAGACGTGGCTGCAGGATCCTCCTGTGATTCGTTGTTGAACTTGTACAGGAGTATCTTCAACCGTTTCGAAGAGAGCTACAGATGGACTGCTCTCTGCGAGCGCTCCTAGCTCTTCTAAACCTGCGCGAAGAACGCTACGAAAGATTCGGCTGCAACAATTGCCTCGTCTATGCGAGTTTCTTGTAAGGATTGATGGTACACTCTACTGTCAGCATCTGACTTCGATGACTTAGCTATAAAGGCTACGAATGCTGACCGCCGCTCTTTTAGCACATCAAGTGCTGCGCAAACTTGTGCCAAATGATGTTCTAAGGAAGCATGGCGCACTTCAAAGGTTGACCGCGGGTCGCCTACACTCGCATCTATAGGATGGAGCAAAGATGCGGGAATCTTACCTTTACTGTTCCCATGGCGAGCGACTGCCTTGGTCATGTTGGCTTTATGCGTACCAGTGGTGGACATTGTAAGCAATGGCAGGGGGCGGTAGCTGCCGTACCCGTTTCTAAAACTAGAAAACTATAAATTTTGCTTGCCCAGTGGACCCGTAGAGTAGCGCTATCGCCGTTAGCTACATACGGCCAAAAAGGGGGGGTAAATAAAAAAAATAGTTATGCGGGGTGCTGGCCAAGCACTATTAACGACGGAATGAGCACGAGGAGATACGAGGACAAGGTATAGGTATCTATCCAAAGGGTACATGACCACGAAGAGAAAACGAGGGCGATATCCCGAAGCAATAGAAGGAAATAGGAGTGCTGTGAACGCACAGACCTGACTGACAGCGATCGCTATGTTGTCACCTACGCCAATAGCTAAGGCCCTGGAACATGTGAAGTTACGGGCAAGGGCTCAATTATATACACTTCCAGTGTAC